CCCAGCGGCTGTCCTGGTCTCCGTTTGTTTTTTTGTTTCTTTCCTTAGTTGTTATTTCATTTATAACAAGAAAGGGAGGGAGGGAGGAAGGAAGGGAAGGGAAGGGAGGGAAGGACAGACGGAGGGACGGAGGGAGGAAGGAAGGGAGGGAAGAAGGAAGGCCATACCCAAGGAACAGAAAGCCCAGGAAGAGGTCCCTGAATCCTCCCTTCTTGTCCCACAAGCAGGTTTACACAGAGGAACCAATGAGACTCATCTTGTAATGAGCTCAGCGCTACAGGGTTGCATCAAAATCCTTGATGCAAACCCCTCAAGACACGCGTCATTGATCCAGACTTGGCACTATATTCATTGAGATTTTCCTTTCTGGATCATTTTTGTATGTGTACATTAAAATACGGTCAACACCCATGTGTCACAAGTGCCAAGAACAGCATGAATGACTAAGATGGGGCCACTCACGCCTGTCCCGCACCACCAGCCCCTGACGGCTTCCTGCGGGCCCAGGCTGGCCCTCATGCCATGCCGCGCTGCCGCCAGGCGTGCGCCGGCCTCTCCAGTGAACCCGCGTCGCAAAGCGGGCAGCAGGAGCCGGTGCGAGCTGCCGCCTTGCCTCGCAACAGACGATGGACTTTCCCCCGCCATTCCATGTTCTCCACCCTCAACAAGCAAATGGCCCCCGTGTTTACCGAGGGAGGGATATCTAAATAGACTTCGGGCCAAACTAAAATGCCTATCGTGTGGCCCTCAAAAGGATTAATCATGAACCTTGGTTCATAATGTATTCCCATCCTTGGTCAATGCTTGGTGTTTTTTTTATTTTATGTATTTTATAAAAACATCATTGACCAAGGATGGGAATACATTATGAAGAAGGTTTGTGACACATGAGTAAATAAATAAATGCATGTATACACACACACACACACACACAGCGAGCTAATTAAACTAATTCCTTTAAAATCTATGACCAAACTCCCCAATCCAAGAACACGAACGTGGGCAGTTATTTGCTTTGATTGGTTTCTGTTCTCTCGTTGCCCGCAGAGGTAACCAGTGTGTGGTTGCGCTCAGCGCAGGGCACACTGGCCGTGGTGGGTGGTTTTAAATAGCCGTGACTTTCAACACCCAAATCAAGAATAAGGGTTGTGACTCTCACCGGTCCATGCGGCCGGATGCTCCCTCCTCTCAATTAAGAGCCTAATAATCATTCTCGTGAGCTAGTGCAGTGTTGGAGAGATTTAAAACCTAGTATCATGGCACATTCTCACCAAGAAAACTAGCTGTATCCTGTTTTATGACTTTATAAATTCGTTCACTTATTTCTTTAATTATTAATGAAATCATTTCATCGCCTATTTTTTAAAAATATGTATTTTTGATCACCATTATATTATATATAATTGGATACAGAGTGCAGCAAAAGTAGGTTTACAGTTGTGAGTATGCAAAATTTTATTCTTGTATTACTTATTAATTATGTTATTTCCTATATGAACAACTTTAAACATACTTTTGCCCCACCCTGTTTTTTCTAAAAATATGATATATAAAATATCAATACAATATGCCATAAAATAATATAAACTATAAATATAATAAAATTAAATACAAAATAATAAAAACTCTGCAACTGAAACCCAGAACTGAAATACTATTACTACACATATGCATCTCTATGTACTTAATCCCAGTAAAAAAAAATGAGGTCCCATGTCCTCATGTGGACATCGGGGGATGAGCAGGATTCGTCAGCCTAATTCCACGTGCCATGCTCCATATTGTCTACTGTTTGCCCTCTTTTAAGTAACTGTTGGAGATATAATCATATTACTCAATAACCTGTAAGAATATGTAATAACTGAGACTCTACAGACCCTGTACTTTTAACACCAGAAATACTAACGTCTGTCCCCAGGCGTAAGACCCACAGAAAGAACTATGTCCCGTTTCATTTGCTTTGTTTTTAAAATAACTCCAGTGAACTCAGAGCAATCCTAACTGGTACCAGACAATACATTCTCAGCACTGGCCCAAGCCGGCTTTTTTCCAGCAAGAGAGGTACGCAGCTATTTCTTTACATAAACATTTTTTTCTGACTAATAACACCAGCCACGAGCAACCTCCCACCAACCCAGAGCGGCGATGGGGATGCTTGTGTGCATCTGCCAGGTGCCCGTGGATCGGCAGCTGCCACGTGCCCCAGAAGTGAGAACGGCTTACCTGTCAGGTGGGAACTCGCTGTGAACAAATACGTTACTAACGATTCTTATTTCATGATATTCTCTCATAAATGACCCATATGTGATCCTTTTTGTCTTCCTTCACTACCCATTTATTTACTCATGTATTCATTAATTCACTTAAATCGATACAATCCACACCCAGCAACTACTGAGACCCAAGGGCAGCCCCCCGTGGGCTTGAACTTCCCTGAACTCTGTGCCCCAGAGGTCTCCTTCTAACCAACCTCCGAGTGAAGGGGTTCGTGGACGTTCTTGGGTCATGCATCATTGATCCAAGCTCAACACTTTCCTTCATCTATCTATTTATGCTTTGTTTATTGATTGTTTATACATTATTCATTATTTCACCCATGGATTTACTGATAAATTTATTTCAGCGAGTCACAAAAACACAAGAATAATATCTTTGAATACTGCAGAGAGCTATTTACAGGTTTATTTCTCAGAGCTAATAAATGAGACCTCTTTTTAATTGGACCTCAGTGTTGCATATAGGGATTAATCAATAACTCTGCCTCATACCCAGCCCCTGGGCTTTATCACCCTCTGCTCGCTTGCTCATCTTTCATTTAATTTCTTCAAATTTCATAAATAGTCCAGTCTACCATCTCACCCAACCCACAGTTAGAACACTGACGATTTTCTCTCTTCCCAGGTACTCCCTTCTCAATGACTGCATAACCTAGGTCCTTGCCAAAAGAGAAACATTTTTAAATGTGGTGCAAGGATAAAGGGGAATATTAAGCAACTCTGAAAATGAACGCAAAGCCCTGTAACTCTGTGTCTAACGTATCTCGTTCGCCTAAAATGGACTAACCTTAACCAGTGGTTGATTACACATCCCCAGAAGTGGCCCACACGTGAGTCTTCGATGTTCCGTTTGTAGTAGCCCCTCATTCCTTCGAGACAATTCCACAGACCATGGGAATAACCCCCTCCCAACCACGAACATGGACTTCATTACTTACATGAGTCCCTTTCCTCTTTTCTAAACAAGTGACAACTGAGGTCTTTGTCACGGGGTAGTAACTGAGTAGATCAGGTGGGTATATTCAATCTGTGGAGTAAAAGGGCAGAGTTTAGAAAACTGTAGTGTAGATTTTTGAAGAGAACTTAGCCCTGCGGTGCCCGGCTTATCAAAAACCTCTGTTTTTAACCCACACCATTATCCCAAGAACGGCCCTCTTTTCCTTTTATGCGATTACTAACACATGTAATACGAGGACAGCTGCCGCACCTGCCCCCGGCAGCATGAAGAACTGAAGAACTGCGCAGACCGCGCGCTCCGTCTGGAAGCCCTGCCTGCGCACGTAGGCGGGGCTAGGTTGTCTCTGACAGGGGTCTCCCTTGGTGACAACTACGTGTATGTACATCCTGTTTCTTGACCGTATTCTCCCCAATGATCCATGCCTGACCCTACTTTATGAAGTTATTCATTTATTTGTTTCTTTTTGATTTATTTACTCATAGGATGACTTGATACTATTTTCATTTTTTCAGAACAGATGCTGAGTGATCTAAAATACTGTCACAGGCAAGTGTCTCGTGCGCTGCACCTGAGCGGGCGGAGCCCCAGCAGCCTCCTATCTCCCTGGATGTCGTAAAGGCAAAGCAACATTCAGGAACTTTATTAAGGACAGAGTATGTTTGTCCTCTTTTGAGACCATCTCCTTCCTCATTCACCTATAATAGTATCATCAATAGTCATGAACCTACATGCCCCAGGCAAGTGTCCTAACTTACACTAACAACTAAACTCAATACTCACAATAAAGGAACTCTGTGTGTTTTTCAAAAAGGGATATAGATTGAGGGGAACTGATTTAATCATAATGCATTCTGAACGTCAGCCAGTCCCTTGGTCATCTCAAATTAGGGAGCTTTGTAACTCATTGTCTATTTATTTTGTTTCCCTTTTCCTTTTTTAACTTACCTTTATTGTTTACACTATTACAGATATCTCCATTTCCCTTCCCTTGGCCCAGCGCCGCCCAAGCCCCGCCCCGCCCCAGCCGTCACCACATTGTTGTCTGTGTCTGGATTATGCAGGTGCTGGCGAGGCTGTGGAGCAAAGGGAGCCCTGGTGCCCTGTTGGTGGGAATGCAGGCTGGTGCAGCCCCTGTGGAGAGCAGTATGCAGTTTCCTCAGAAAAAAACTTAACAGAGCTGCTTTTTGTCCCAGCGATTCCACTTAAGGGAATATATCAAAGAACACTGAAACACCAATTCGAAAGAATATGTGCACCCTTATGTTCATAGCAGTGTTATTTATAATAGCCAAGGTCTGGAAGCAGCCCAGTGTCCATCGGTGTGAGGGGATAAAAGAGCTGTGGTACGTTTATACAATGGAATACTACACAGCCATGAAAAAGGATTAGCCAAAGAACACGTTTCACTTTTCTTAATAAAATTAGCAGCCACCAACCCAGAAACAACCGTGACTCTTACACACATCTGTCCATGGTTCTCATCAACATGGTAAAAGCCCTGGACTCTTCACTTCCTAGAACTCAACTCCTCAGAAACCTATTATTTGATGATAATTTACAGTACCTCATCACATACTCTCATAAATGGTAAATACCTAGCTCTCTCTGACTTTATTCATTGATAGGTTTCTTTATTTCCCCAAGTACTGACTCACTAACAAAAGGGCCCACATCTAAGATCTACCAAAGCCCAGAGCAAGATGCCTGTATCCCTAACTTCGGCTACAAGCTCATGTCTCATCAGGCAAGAAATTACATTTTTAATAATGAACCTCAGAGTTACAGGGTTTAATCAAAATCCTTGGTACAGACATTCCAGGGTGTTCATCATTGGTCTAGGTTTGGGGCTGTTTATTCTATAGCCGTTTAGACATTTGCTATTAATTCATACATCGATTGAGTAAAAATCACTTCGTACCCCCAAATATTACTAACTTCTCTTGTTGGCCTCATTTCTCCCAGAAGCGGCTCACAGCCCCTTCCCGCGGGGGCCCCGCGGCCGCCCGCCTGGTCAGTCACTATTCTTTACGCAAACCGGCTCTGCTCACGGCCATGCTGGGCCCGCATTCTGCAGTCCTTCTGCAATTTACTAAAACTCTAAGTATGTAACCAAAAACTCCAAGAATGTCTCATTTTACCTCATTAACAATTTCCCATCTTTCTTTGTGTTCTCTCTCAACATGTTAGGAACCTACGTCTTATCATGGACAGGATGTATAAATCAGCTGTGGTGAAGAACAGAATGAAATAGGACACAGCTGCAAAATGAATGAAAACCCCACTTTCACCTTTTTTAGACAGGCTCGCATGTTCAAAGTTGGCCTGATCTAACTTGGACAACTTTGACACGTTTCACCAGTACTCATTCTTGACCCGCTTTAAGTATGTGTCTATTTGCTTATTTGTTATTTAATTTGATTAGACATGGACTAATTTATGCCTATTTTGCTGTGCATAGTTGGCATTTTTTGCCTGAATTTTTGAGGAAAAAATAAGGACACACATTATACGTGCGTAGTACTTGAAATACTCTGTATCTGTTCTTGTGTTTTGTAATTATTTGTTACGAAAAGCTTCTACCATAATATGTTCACAAATAAATGCTAAAATTCTTTCATAATACAAAAAAAAGTATATGAATATAAATAAATAATTGAATTAAAAAATTAAAGTGAAAAAATTTTTCCCCCTCAAAGTTTGAGGCAAAAACATGAGTGCGCATTATACACGGCAAAACATGGTAATCCTATAGTTTTTAGAAGATAGTTAACAAGAGTAAATCCACCAGCAGCCGAAACTGAAGCAACATCGCACGATTTTACCTTCAATAGGTAGGCATGTAGATTTTCCACTGACAGTAGCAGCGAACTCTATTTATCCCCGTTATCCCTTCAGACCCCATGTTCCTCACTAGTCGGGGATCTGCCTGCTATGAGCGGAGTCTCTGGCAGTAACATACCTGCATCCCCATACGAGCTACAGCCTGGGAGGCAAAGAAGTCGGTCAAAAAGTCTGAGCAAACTAACATCTGTCCATTACTGACAGGGGTGCCCAACGAGATCTTCGTTGCTTAGGAGCTCAGTGAATAAATAATTCTTGTCATCTGCCACGAACTCAATCTTGGTCCCCCTCAATGTTCTTATTTATGTTCACAAATTAACATGTGCGCTGTTCTCCATGGACTCCATGCTCCAAAACCATATTAACAATAATTCTTGCTTTACAACACACGCTCACCGTTGGCCCATCGCAGCGGCCGTCCCACTGGACCAGCATGCGCTCCGTGCCCTTTGCTCGTAGCCTAGAGCTCTCACTCATTAACGAAGCCAAATTGGACTCATCATCATTTTTGATCATGGGTCCTTGCTGACTGTTTTTTGTTTTACTTGATCATTTCTAAAGTTCTCATGAGCAGCCATCAATCCAACCTCATTCCACAAGGAGAACATTACCTTGCATTGCCCTGTGTGCTCCTGGCTCAGAGATCTTTATCCATGGACAGAAGTCCAAATAAACTCTGTACAAACAAGCAAGGAAAGAAACAGGTTAGGTTAGTTTTTGGAAGTCAAGGGCACGAAACTAAACTACCTACAGTCCTTTAATCCCTGGGTCATTCTCGTCTCCAGTCTGTGTTTTGACCTTTTTTGTATTTTAAATATTCCTGTAATTGTTTATTTTTAGTATTAAAATCAACATGCACTACATCACCATGCAGAAACAAGAATACTGACTATTCCTTAACAAACACAGTATTTAAATAGACCTTAGATGTACAGAATTAGAAGAACCCTAGTTCTGGGATAATGAGACAGTATCATCATTGAACTGTGCCTGTCCTCTTGTTTAATTCATTAATTTATTCATTCATTTACTTACGAACACTCTGAACTTCCCAGCTGAAGATTTAAGAACACTGACTATTGCTTACATTTTAAAAAATATTTTATTCACCCAAATAAGTCAACATTCTCATAAATACTTGCATGAGTAATTAAACTACTGTGTGTCCATTTCATGCAATAGAAGGCAACTGCTTAAAATGAACACACTGGGTCATCTTTAATGGCTCTACTTGTATAGAAATGAATTAATCACTTTAAGTTTATGAAACATTGTTCTCATGGGTCTACGCTTTGCCCTTTTTCATTTTATTTTTACCTTAAAAAAATCATAAAAGAATACCTTATCCAGACAGAGAACTACCAATGCCTGTCAACTATAACTAAAAAAAGGAAACTACCAATACCTTATGTCCGTGTGCCGCTCTCTCACTGATCTGACAGCATAAACTTCATCAGTAGGGAAATGTGTTTATTAACCATAGTGTATAAAATAAATAAAACAACATATATTTTTGTTTTAATGTCCCTCAAATTTCAAGAATTGTGTAATCATAAATCTTGGGTCATGACACATTGTCTTCATTGGCCCATGCTTGACCCTCTTTGATTTATGTGTGCATCTACTTATTTTTAATAAATCAATAAACATACAGGAACCCACCACTCAATCCAAAAATAAGAAAAAGTAACAATTATATTTATATTAGTGGCTATATATTACACATATATAATAGTTATCCATTCACGCTATATAAAATTCATGTAAATTATGTAGGTACATAATTTCTTTCTACTTGCTCATTCCCTACATAGAGAACAGCCCAGTTCTACTGTTTTTCAGCCTGGTGACAGTGATGTCACACGAGCTGCGTCCCCTTTGGTTCCTGACGGTCTCGTCAGCCCAGAGACAAGCCTCGGCGTGTGGCCGTCTTGGGCTTCGTTTGGGCCCCCTCGCGCGAATGCCGCGTGCACACCCACCATCCAGCCGCCCAACGGTCCCTCGCGGTGGCAGCCCATGGCTCATCTCTACTGAGGTCACAGCCAAGACCTTTGTCACCAGCCACACCCTGGGGCCTCCATCCTGTGGAAGGCAAGGCAGATGCTTCAGGATAAAACAACGTGGGTGCTTCTGAAGGCTGCCAGGTGAGTGGCACAGGGTGAACACACGGTCTTTGGTCGTGACTCGGTCCCCCCACTGGCCCAGCGCAGCTCTGACAGTACAGAGTTTTCATCCAATAAGTTTATTATTATTACAACAAACATGCGCTAACTCACCACCCTAATCAAAACCAAGAACAGCAACGAGTACTAATACTTGTCTTCTAGATGACAATCTGATGGCAGAGTTGGAGTAAAAATCATCTTGGATTCCATATGGAACATCATTGCAGCTTCTTACTGGTCCTTTTTATTGGTTTTACTTCCTTTTTAAACACAATGAACACAGATGAGCTCAGCACTTTTGCGGACCAGAAACATTGGCTGGTACTGATGCACCTTTTCCTCGGGGAAGGGCTTTGTTTCACTCTGTTGTTTCAAGGGGTCCACAACTGCACCTACACGGCTTCGTCTCAATTCATTAAGCGTTAGCTGCGGTGGTCCGGTCTTAGCCCTCTTTCATTTCGTCATTTTATTACTCATCTAGCTCATTTTTAACTATACAGTAAATACACATGAAGCCACCATTCAGCCCAAGACCAATGACCGTCTGTATACCTGTTGACGGGATTCTACCCACAGTGCCAACAGCCTGGAACTCGTTGGGTGTAGGGGGTGAGGGTGAACCAGGTTACTCATAACTTCGTTTAAAAGCCCATTCTCTCCGCTGGCCCATGCTTGGCCCCCTCCCGTGTTATTTACGTGTGCACGCGTGTCTAGCTACTCAGTGAACTCCCACAAAGCCGCTCACACTGGCCCACAGCGCCCTGCCCCACAGCCAAGATTTCTCTGGCGGAGGGGCCGCGGGAACACAAAGCCCAGGAAAAGGAAGAAAACAGCCTCGACCTTTCTTGTTCGTGAATGTCAGGTTAGCAGACCCAGATTAATCACGATCTTTTGTCCAGAACACACCCTCCCAATTGCTCTATTCAAGGCCTTTATTACATGGTCTCTTTATTTTTAATAATGAAATTAACAACCACAAACCACTCGGATCTTTTTGTATGTCCTTTGGTTGTGGAGAAGCAAGCGCAACCCCTGGCCCGAGGCCTACTTCCTCCATCCCTCCTGGAACGCTTCTCCCTGACTTTACGGCTCATTCACGCCAGCACAGTACCCAGGCACGACCCCGCCTCTGGGTCCGCCCCAGCCCCCGCGGGCCTCTACCTCAAATAATCACTCCCAAGCCTCTCCTGCGCGCCCGCCCCTTTCCCTCGTGTATACAGAAAACTTGATCCCATATATGCACTCTTAAAAAATATTAGTGTTTCCCATGGTGGGGGGCTTGCTGGGCCTCTGTCAAGGGGCACAATTAAGCACACATGAGTGACATCAGAAGACGTCCACCAGGGGGTGGTAAGAGGACCAGAACCCAGCCCCTTGGGCTCCACCCCTAGGCTCCCAGGCCCGAGGCCGCACGCATCCCCTGTCCCAGCACCTTTGTGCTCACCACGCCCCTGCCTCCAACCCCAGCCTCCAACCCCGACCTGCCGGGTGACATGAGGACAGGGAACTGCCCCCTGTGTCCCCATCTGCATAAGAGTCACAGCCCCAGTCCCTACGGAAAATTCACCATGACTTCACGCCACGGACAGCCAGGCAAACCCCGCACCCCAGCCTCTGTCCTCTGCGCAGCAGCGCCCAAGCCGCAGGGCTCGACAGGCAGACCAGGTTCCGCCCCAGCAAGCGCCCCCGAGCTGTGACCTGCAGAGGCGCGACCTGGTCTCTGCCTGGAGGCCCAGCTTGTGTGCTCTGTAGGCTGCAGGCCGCAGCACCCTCAAGGCTCCAACGTGAGGGCTAACAGCCCTGCGGACCGCCGCCCGACAGCCCCCACGTGG